CCCTGACCGGAGGCATTCGGGACCCAAAACACAAGAGGCAGTTCTTTAAATGGGCTCATTTCTTAAAGCAGTGGCACTTGGTATTGTCTCTAGTGTGGCCTGCCACAAAGGAGGTTTGCCCGGTGGCTTTTTTGCTTCACCTTGGACTGGCACCATGATGTGGCATTGCAGGATGGCTCTGTACGGGCTATGTGCCATGCACACCGCTTGCCTTTGATTAGTGTTGTGTTTGTTAATCATTGTGTGTGCCCTGGTGACTGCAGGTGATACAAAGCTCACGTCCTGTAATGCACTTGGTCAGAAAAAAAGATCAGTGAAAGGGGTATTGTCAAAGGAAGACCTTAAATACTAAAGGAGAACTGCTCCTGAAAATAAGAAGAGCATTCTTCTTTCTGAAGCATTCTTCTTTCTGAAGAGCATTTTCTCAGCTACAGTGTATGACAGGGAGGAAAAGACCACAGCAATAGAATTAGAATTTTGCTTAATTAACACCATCTGATCTGTTGCACTTTATCAGAATTGTCATTTTTTAGAAGAAACACTGAAATTACTGGAGTGGGGGGCGGGGTGGAAGGAGATTGCATTATTCTTGTCACATTACATGTACCAGCAGGAGTCTGTGCCTTGGCTGGAGACAGGTAGCACAGGTATTTTGAAATGTGTAAATACAATGAGGAGAGTGGAGCAGGAATTATTTGGGAATAACTAGAAGACAGTGCACCTAAATGCTAATCTATATAAACATAAATGATAAGGAGAGAACAGACTTTTTTTGCTTGCTAATGAAACAGACAAAACCTGGTTGTTCATGCCTTTGAAAGTCTGAGTTTCCTTCTTGTCGTATTTCTGTTAGTGGACGTTGTCATGTTTGAAATCTGAATGGAGCAGGTTACTTATATTTTAGATATATAATATTAAAAAAAAATATATCTAAAACTATCAAGAAAAACAAGTTTTAAGGTGTGATGGAAAATCTCTTTTTCTTGTCTTCAAGTGCCAGACTACTAATCTTTGCCCAGAGACCTAAAGAGAAGAGCTTGCAAGCCTGCCCTGAAGTTGTTTTAACCAAAACAAGGGGGGGAGTGCACACACCAACACAGTGAACTAGAGTGTAAATTATAATCACAAAGTTCCAATACATTAACTGAGGCTTGAAGTAGAAAAGAAATGCATTGCAGTAGCAGAGCCCTTTACAAAAATAATTCTTCCTGTCGCACTGTAGAAGCGTAAGGGAGATCTGGACATTTCTACTGTATAATATCCTAGCATCAATCTGTGATCTGTCCGTGCCTCTAGATGAGGGAAAAATCTTGTAACAAATGTGTAAATTGACCAGCTGAAGGGCTGATACTTTTCTCAGCATATCCTCTGGTCACTCCATTTATCCTACCAACTCTACATCTGTCTCTGCTGAATCCATCTTTCTATGCTCATCTTTTTATGTGTCCTCGCTTTTATAAGTATTGAAGGAAGTGTTTGACATGAACCAGATGAATGAATCCCAGAGAAGTCTGGATTTCATCAGCATACTGAGAATGTAGAGCCCCTATGTTCCTTCTCCATTCTCTAACAGAAATAATAACTGAGTGGGTTAACAATATCAAAGTCCTCAGTAGTTGGCGAATAATTGCTAAAAACTGTACACTGCATTTTATCTCAGGAAAAATTTATATTGACATAGCATTCTGAATCTTTATTCATTGCCAAGATGGAATTACAGCCAAAGTACAGTCTGAAGCCAGACTGGCAAGAATCAAGACCAGATACACTGGCTTCCCAGAAAATAACTTTACCAATGAAGAGGAAATTAGATACTGGCCTATATTTTGTATTCATAGTTACTTTTTTGTTTCTGTAGAACTGGTTCTACTTGGTGGGGGGACCAATCTTACTTAAAAATGGACAATATTCTCTCTCTTTGAGGTACTGAGATGCTTGAGCTACAAGTAACTTATCTGTTTCCATTTTGTCATCACTAGCCAAGAAAGACACAAATCCATGGTATAAAATAGTTCTAACTGGATGCCAGTGTCCCATGCACACTTACAGAAAATGTCGTGCTTGTCTCTTCCCAGGTTTTCAGGCACAGAACCTGACAGTTCAGTCTAAATCAATCATCTTTTTTATTAAAAGTAACATTGCATTCCACCCAGGATTTCTTTCTAAATTCTCTGGTGCTTGCACTATTTGAGGCTGTCAGTTGGTGTTCCAAATCTGGTTTTAATCTTAATTTGACCAGAGGAAAGTTATGGAATATTTTGGAGAAAAAACTGGCTTAGTTTTATTGCCTTTTCTGTCTGTTCAGAATTTGAGATAGCTCTTGCTTCTATTCATAAGTCCTCAAAAAAGACAAGTGCACATGTAGATAGACTTCGTATTCCTAATATATCTACATTTAGAAAACAAATTTCTCAAGTTCTTCCCACATGCACCTTCTGCATCTTTGCATGTTACTTTTGAGAAAACTTGAGTGTTAGATGTCACAACTTTGTAGTGATACAGAAAAGATTATAAAATTGTCTCCTAAATGAATTATTCAGGGAATTAAACTGGATAAAATATTGGTGTATTGAAAAAAAAACAAAAACAGCGACAAAAAAACCCCCACAAACTCAAAGACTCTCCTAACAGTCCTTTCTTAAAATTTTACTTTTGCTCAGAATTTTCCCTCTTGGTGATTTATAATCTAGCAAGCCGCTGCATACTTTGGTCCACAATATACATCTGCTATTCTGTGGCATTCTCTTATTCCATGTTTTAAAGCTTTTGGTTAAAGGGCCACTGCCATTTCAATGTATAGCAGTTCAAACTAGTACCAAAATAAATGGAATTCAGGTGACTATGAGAACTTCACACTGACTGTGAACTAGTTTACTTTTAGTAAAACATACATGAGAATTTACCAAATGGTTCCCTATGCCCCTGGGATTTGTTCTTTTCCCCATAGTTTGCATATATCCAAAGTGCTTGGTATATCTATAATATATAAAGTGAGTTGAATACTATAGATACTGTTCCCCTTACATCTGCACAATACTAGTCAACATATTGTGGACTTGAGGGAAAGTATTTCTCAAGTCACAGGTGCAGGTAGAGGTCTAAACTATGCCTGATCATTATATGCTTTGATTTCTTTACTAGATTGAAGGGAGAATTATAGAGGATGCTGAAACACCAACTCCTCCAAACCCTTCTGGACAGTGTCCCATCTGTCGCTGGAACCTGAAGCATAAGTACGATTATGTGGTAAGTTTAATGAAGGAGAGTTCCCCCATCCTCACAGCTAGATAAATGTTGCCCTCAGATCAACATACTGCACAACCTGGCCTTCTCGTCTTTTGCTAGGTGTAGTAAAGATAGTTAATTCCATCTCTGCTTCTCTGGGGTGTAACGAGAACTTCCTACACAGTAATTGTTTGCCTTGGCTGATGGTGTTCCTGGCAAAAAGAAGGATAAGCTCATATCAGATAGGAGGCTTGGAATTATAGAGATGGCCATTTGATCTGAGAAGGCCGTGTGTCTTTTTGTGCCCAGCTGCCTTTCAGCGTTGCACTTCCAGGAGAATCAAAATGGAATGCAACATTTAGTCAACTGATTCAGGCCCGTTCTAACTCCAGAGAGGCCAAAAGACTTGACTAAATCAATTATATGTCTTCAAGCACTACAGTTCCTCATTGGGTCACTGTCCACTAAAGTAACAACTGTTTTATATGATTTTTAAAACTCTTGATGGGTATGAAGGAGAGCATACGTGTTTACATCCCTTGCAACTGAAAAAAATAGGTTTGATTCAAGCATTTTGCAAGAAATGCTAATGCAAAGTTTATTAACTAGTGGGAGGATTACTAACACTAAATGTAGAAGATAGGAAGGAAATCCTGTAATGCTTTAAAACAAAAGCACAACAGTCAAGAACACTTTAGAATAAGAAGTGTGAGATAGAAGATGCAGAATGTAACTTTACAAGAGGTTATTCAAACACAGAGTTTACAAAAGGACTAAGTGCCCCCTGTGCAAGCTGAAAACCCAGTACTGGAATTAGAAAAGAAGAAAAACAGACAGGAACGTGCTGTTACTAAGATAAGGCAACAGAAAACCTGGAATAAGTTAATGTCAGTAGGATTAGGGTGAGAGAGATACAAATGCATCTGGAGGAAAAGAAGTCTTTGGGAGAAAGAAAGTCCATTGAGAGGAGAAGGGGACTGAAAGCCACACTGGCTGGAGAATGCCTAAGCTCCTCCATGCAAACCTAACACACACATACACAAAAGAAAAATTATGTTTTAATATTTAGGTAGTAATGGCAGTCTTGCAAATGGAAAACAACAGGATAAAACAGGTACACAAATAACTTAAGTATTGAATTAGGAATAGATACAGACCAGCAGGCCTGGACTGCATGTAGCCCAAGATCTTAAGGGAATTAACAAATATGTTGCTCCACTTGCAGCATTTTTTTAAAGCGTGAAAAAACATCCTAAGAAATCACCAAATGGTTTGAAAACAGCAAGTGAAATACTAAGTACTTGAGAGAGGAAGGAGAATGATGCTGATGCTTACCACTTGGTAAATCAAATGTTTGGGTAGATTGGGTGCTCAGAGATGTGGTTTAGTAGCGGACAGGTACTGTTGGACTCTATGATCTCAAAGGTCTTTTCCAACCAAATGATTCTATGATTCTATTAAATTCCAAGTAAAATGGTAGCAACTAAGAGTAAAAACAAATAACCTGTTGGATAAGACTAATTATGACTCACGAATTATAAAGAACATGGGTACAGAAATAGTGCCAGACAAAATACTTGCAATTACTCCAGGCAGGTGAAACAACATATGTGAGAAGTAAATGAAATACCAGTTTAGTATCTTTCAAAGCCTGTGTTGTAGAAATTAAGTTTTCTAGGATCTGAGTGTTGTCAGTGATTCTGAGTCAGGCTGGATGCAATACTAAACAGTGAAATAAGTTGGGGGTGGGGGAGTATTTAGTGGTCTCTGGTCTGGTTTCTCAACAATCTGGGAAAGCTAAAAATACGATGAATTTGGAGATGATAATAAATTAGGAGAAATGGCAAATACCATTAAGGTATGGGAAGTACTACAAAAACAGATCACATTTGTTTTGTGTTGCCCGTGTTTGAATGCAGCAATTTCTTGCAACTCTTTTCTTCTTCACAGTTGCTGAATTGTGTTGTGATCAAAACAGACCAATCATTTACACTTTCTTAAGGTTAATAATATAGTTTTATGTGACTTGTAAATGTGAAGAGTCAAGAGCATCATTAAACTGGGAAGTTCTGCAGGTTTCCAGAAAGCATTCCATGAGTCACACATTATCAAATCCAGAGAAACTATAAACTGATGCTCAGGGATGAAATGAGCCATGGTAGTGGATTAAATCTTGGAAGTTACTAAATAGACTTCACTTTCTGCTGCTGCCTGTGGTAGAAGACTCTGTTGCACATAGAGATAGCAGTGCCTTCAGGAACCAAAGAAGCAATTTTAGACAATGTGATGCTGCAGAGCCTGAGTTCCAGGATTAAAAGGAGGCTGTTGGCTCCAACAGACGATGTAAATCGTGAGTCTTAGGAATGTCTGCAGCGTGAACTAAGGTTACGAGTTTTTTTCTGCACTTCAGTTCAGTTTGATTCTTAGATCCTGATTTCTACTGTTTAGCATGGAGGCAAGAGAAAACCAAATGTGAGGAGAGATCTTGCATCAGAGTCCTGAGAATCATTGCTGAGATAGTTCCTAAGAAATTGTGGTCCCGAGAGACAAAGTAGGAACATGTCCGCCCTGGCTGTCGTGTAGTTTTTAAATGCATATGCATCTGGCATATATATATCCAGTACTGCTGCTGTAGAGCAGAGGAGAACCTGGACAAAAAGCTAAAGAGAGCAGTGTGAACTGGTACTTCAGAACTGTAGAAGTTTCTTATCTCAGTATGTAGAAGCATTCCTCTGAGGGGCTGATGAGGACTAGGAGAAATTTCAGATCTGGAGTAGACCACCTCTCCTACTTTAATAAGTCCCTTGTATGTTTGAATGCTTTGTACCAGTCATGAATTTTCAGGCTTTTAAATGTTAAGGTGAATAAAATCTCCCTTTTCTGCACAAAAGTGCTCTCTGCTATTTTTCTTTGCTGCAGCAGTGATGAGCCGTAGAAGCTTGAAATGCTTAAATAATAAAGTGCAGGCATTTAACTGTGGGGGTAATTAAACAGTGGCACAATTTACTCAATGGTGGTTAATTGTCCTAGAAGTCTGTAAATTGAGAACAGCTATTTTTGTTAAAGATACAGCCTAGTTCATACAGCATAACCTATAATCTACGCCTGGTAAGAGATCAGAATAGATGGATCACAGTGGTTCCTTTGAGACTGATAAACTGAGATCAGTCAGTTGCACAGAAGGGAAAGTGTGAGCTTTTTAGCTTGGGATGCTTGTAATTGGACTGAATGAGGCACTATGAAAAGGGAAGTGTTGAATTAGCCCCTGAGGGAGCTGAGTAATATGACCTCATAGGACTTTCCTTTTGTCCTGTGCAACTAGCACGGTCTAAAGTAGCGGCATAATGAGTTACTTTGGCTGTCGGAGAACTAGGGGACCAATGTCTCCAAAGTCATTAATCAACTGAACAGGCATTGTGCGCAGTAGCAGGTCATGATTCCAACCTGCCTCAGCTGTGGTGTGGAGGAGGGCTGCAGTTGTCTTTGCCAGTTCAGTCCTTAGTCTCTGCTGAGGCTCAGGCTAACAGAGGCTAAGGTATAAATTCCCACAGTTTGCCATCTGTGTGTGTCTGTCTGTTGAAACTGAAACCTCAGTTGATTTTTTTTTCATATCCATTGGAGATAAAAAAAATATTTTGGTCATTGTCAGGATGCAACTGTATTGAAACCTGCAATCCTGTTACAAAATGCCTAGAAAATGCTGTACAGCTCCCAGGACTGGAAATAATGACTGGCAGCTTGTCTGATACTGCCCAGTAGTAATTTGTCTGTGCAGACACAACTCTTCTTGCAGTAAACACAGCTTTTAATGAATGGCCTGTAGCCAGTCAAGGATCCTGCTTTTCAAAGTGTCTGCAGATATTAAAATGCAGCGATGCCTCTGAATTTTGGTTGCCATCCATTCACAAGAACATGATGTACAGTGTTTCATTTAGCGAGTTTATCCAGCCCTTTTAGAGGTGAAGGCTAAACTTGTTTTTCTTTTCCCCCCTTATCCACTTCAAACATCGTTAGGCTGAATAGGCAGTAAATATGTCGTCTTGCTTTGGCAGCAATTAGGGGAAACCAAACTGCAAGCTTTGCCTATTAGCCCTAGATTAATTCAATCCAAGTTGTTTTCATCAAATGCTGCAGATTACAGGGGTGGGAATCTGGGTCCAGCCTCGTGGGAGCTGTCCAGTGATTAAAGCAAATCCGTGGTTACAGGCTTGGCTGTCCACTAGCACAAAATGTGAATTTCATGGAACATGACGGCACCATGAGGACTTGCCAGACATATTTTTTCTCTTTGACCGCTCCACGTACTTGTTCGCTTCCCTCCACAGCTGCCCCATAAAGTTGGCTGTACCTGTCTGCTTTCTCCCTGTGGTGAGATGCATCTGTGTGAGTACTCTGGGAGAGGCACCTGGCCTGTTAACTCTGAGGATCCTCAGAAATGGACAAACCTTCTGTCAAGTGTGCAGCACTTTAAGCCAAACGGTGTGAGTGTAATTTGCAGCTGCAGCGGCTGGGACATAGATGATTTCAGTTAAGAAATGACTGCCACACGAGGGTGTTGGTCAGTTGGTGACACCGTTGGTCAGAGATGATAACAGAGAATGGATTTTCCTGGTTTTCTTTTCCACAGGGAGAAAAATACAGACAATCTCTCTTTGCTTCCCGCCTCCCCGCTTTGCATGGAAATACTTGATAACAACCCTGTGACTCCATGAGGCGTGGTGGTAATAAGAGAAATCACTTGGACCACACACACCCTTCACAAGCCTGTGGCCTACTTAGGCTTTCACGGCTGCAAAGACTGGAACAGCCTCACACTTGCCATCAGCTCCCTTTTTCTTCTTCCCCATAGAGTAATGCAGCAGGCTAGTAAAAAAGTCTAGGAAATTTTTCTCTTTCTAGGCACTTGGAGCTGGTCAGCCCTTTTTCACTCAGGGAAATGATATGTTTGTGCTAAAAGTCAAATTGAGCTGTTGGTGATCTGGAGAACTGGATGGCTAAAGAAGAGGAAAAAAGGGGATGGAGTCTTGCTCTAGTTTCCTGAATCCAATCCAGTGTATTTCAGGAGTGGCCGAAAGTCAGTGCCCTTGGACTGTTTGGCTGGCCTCCACCCAGTTTCCACCAACGCAGCTGGCACCCACTGGTCCCTTGGTTGCTGTTCTCATTGGCAAGGCCATGTGTTAGCTGGGCTGAGGACACGTCGCTTCTGTTTTAACCATAGATGGCCTCTCAGGAGCTTGCTGCTGGTTGCTCAGCCATGCTTTTCTTGTTCTTTGGATACAGTATCGCTCTGTACGGTGGTTGAGAAGTCATTTTGTATCAGTGAGAAGTTGCCTAATGTGCTGTGTTTTTAAAGGAGCTGGATCTGAAAACGAGGCTCAACACATTAATTGCAGACAAGTGGAGGTAGAAAGGAAGCCAGATAAGGGAAGAGGGAAATTGTGTATCATGAGAGTATAATGAGGGTGGGATTGAAAGCTGCGAGGGGGAAGAACAAAAACAAACCACAAAACCCCAAAACAAACAAAAACCCCTCTGAGTTTTGACTGCATGCCTTGTATGACAGCATCTGTCAGAATCCGTCATTACCAGAAAGCCGTACTGAATTCCACCCCCTACAGAGCTGAGCTGCTCTTGCGCAGTGGGGGTGGATGTATAATTCCTAGATAGCTAGGTTTTGGGAATATTCATTTTGCATCCACTTGTGATTGCTTGCTTTTGCAAGGGCAGTAAATGAAGGTAGGGGTGCTCCAGGGAGCCTTTTGTAAAAGAGCAAAGATGGGGGGGTGGGAGCAGGTCTGTGAATCTGTGAACAACAGGCAGAATCAGGGTCACCTAATGTGAAGAGCAACAAGTACTCTTTGTTCTCGCCTGTTGCCCTAGACAGTGGGGCTGTAAAGTGCTGACGTTCCTGGTTTGAATTCTCTTTCTTTTGGGGTGCTCCCTGGCAGGTCCCTTCCAGCCTGCAGGCAGCCTCCGCACCATCCAGCTACCTCAGCTATGAACATGTTTACAACAGCCGTGGAGAAGTGAACTCTCAACCAACAACAGGTTTATCAATATATGGGATCAAAACAAGCACAGAGTCTCCAGAGGCCCTTTGGGCCAATTTGTGCTGACATCAGCACGCCAAGGGGACTTGCCTGTATTGGCCTGAGGGGTACATTCGCAGTGGTGCTGCGTGTGGAAATGGAGAGCACATCTCTAAATACTGGGCTGCAGTACTGTGTGCAGTTAATGGGACACTCGCACAACAGTTGTTGCTGCTGTGTTTAAAAATTTGTCATCCCAGCTCTGTGATACTATCTGCTCCTAGAGATCCCTTTAATTTTGTTTTTATTAAGAGTGCTTTGTATTTCTAGAGCTCTTAATTGTGGAAAGGTCAACAGCAGTGTAATCTAAATGATTCCTGAATCACAGACGAACCCTCGGCATGCTGCGAGTGCTCCTTCCATCCAGCATGGCTGTAACAGCCCTACCTCATACATGCACAGTTGAAGGACTGAAGGCAGTAATTTATCCTATTAGGTCTTTCTCATCAACACACATTCTTTTCTTGCAAAAAGCTTATTCATGTGAGATCTTGGACCATTTCCCTGCTCTCCACCCCTCCAGAGAGACATGAGGGAAGTTCCGCCATGGGAAACTGGATAAAAGTTTGAGGAGTAGATAGCAGAGAACAATCCTGCGCTGAGGCAACAAGGAGGAGGCCAGAGGTGACCTAACATATATGTGACCTTTAGGACAGCAGCTGTGATGGCATTTCAAGTTGTGTAAACACTATCCATCTGTAGGTCTTGTGTAACTGTGTCTGAATACCTAGGGCACATTATCTTAGCAAGAATCTTGGAGCAAGCGACAGCGAAGTAGCAGGGATTGCAGCTGACATCATGTGTTTACACTAGTGAAGTCAGGGGAAGACTCAGACCATCTGAGTGACCTTACTGAGCTAAGCTGGCAGGCAGAGTGACAGCAAGCAAAAGCCACTTGACGAGCTGCAGCCAAAATGCGTAGGAAGGCCTCATTGCTTTGTTTTGCTTTGTTCTGTGTTCTGTACACAACACGAGGGTCAGCACAACACCTAAGAATCATGGCAGTTTAAGCAGCTGTAGCACTGATGGCTTTGCCCTTCTTTTGCTCTCTCAGGATGTCTTGCTGCTGAGTCAGTTTATCCGTTCTGATGGAGGGATGCTGCCACGAAGGATTACAGGCCTCTGTTTGGAGGAGCACAAGAAAATTGCTGTCTGTGTGCAGATGGCTCACCGTGCAGGTATCTGGACTCCTCCTGAGACAACCCCTTTCTGTGGAGTACCCATCAAAACCCTTTACAGGTCCTGCACCTGGGTCCGGGCAACCCCAGGCACAAATACAGGCTGGGTAATGAATGGCTTGAGACAAGCTCCAAAGAGAAGGACTTGGGAGTGGTGGTGAATGAGAAGCTGAAACAGGTTGCCCAAGGGGGTTGTAGATGCCCCCTCCCTGGAAGTGCTTAAGACCAGGCTGGATGAGGCTTTGAGCAACCTGGTCTAGTGGAAGGTGTCCCTGCTGATGGCAGGGGGGTTGGAACTAGATGATCTTTAAGGTCCCTTCCAATCCAAACCATTCTATGATTCTCCTGCCCAATTAGTATAGCTCAGTGAGATGTCATTGTCCAGCCACCCAGAAAATTCATTATGGTCCCAGCGCTGGGACAGGATGATGGACCAGAGACTGCTTGTTCCACTTTCTATGTGTCTTGGCTTCTGCCTTGAAAGCAGGCATTTTTTCCTGTAGATGAGTCTGCTGTTGCAGAAAGATCTGGGAACTGGCTCAGTCTCTAGTAAATAATGATTAAATAACATCTTCTGAAGTTACTTGATTTAGCGTAAGCTTGACCTACCCTGTTAATAACATGGACCTCTCTACCATCTGCCATGTGATGACTTTTTTGCTTTACCCTGGGAGTGGGATCCAGGTTGACACAGTCAGAGTATTGTGCTGATCTTTATGCCTGGTACCTGAGTTGTGTTCAAGTTAAATGGACTGAGAATTTTAATAGTCAGATTTTCATCTTGGAGATGGAATTTGATTGGACATCAGTGCCTTATGTCCTCTCAAAAAGTCTCTTTGATATGCCCAAGTGGCTGTGTCTTTGGTGTGTATTTCCTCTTTACAGCCAGCAGAACCTCCTAACTTCTCTTTGGCTGGGCTGCAGGTTCAGCAAAGACCAAAGATAAAATACCCTTTCTCACGTACTTGACTTTTTCCTGTGCTGTCCCAGTAGGGACCTGGGTTTCCTGGCTTACAAGCTGTAATGTAACTTCTGGGTGATATAGAGGCAAGGAGGCACTGCTAAATATTCTCATACCTTTCTTTTTCTGTTTCAGGTTTGTTGCCAAACCACAGGCCTGCACTTCCTGAAGGGCATATTCCCAAGAAACCCAAACTCAACAGGTGAATAGTCTTGTCTTTCCACATCTCTCATTTTCAGGAATAGATTGGAAGAGGAAAAGCAGTTCCTTATAACTGGGCAAAACATGCCTCAGGCAGCAGGGCTCATAAAGAGTATTTATAGCATTTTGGAGAAGAAAGGTCTGTCACAATATTCTCTTACTAGTCTTTTAAGGACAAACCACAATTCATTCAAACCATTTACCCACACAGGACTAAAACTGACACACATGTTAAGAGTCTGTCCTCCCTTCCTCAGCTACACTCGCCCCCTCATCACTAGCACTCAGTAGGGCAGTCACAAGAGGATGCCACAGAGATAGAACCACAGCATCACAGAGTAGCTGAGGCTGGAAGAGGCCTCTGGATATCGTCTAGTCCAAGCCCCCTGCTCAAGCAGGGTCATCTAGAGTAGGTTATCCAGGATGATGTCCAGTCAGGATTGAGTATCTCCAAGGATGGACCTTGCACAGTTTCTCTGGACAGCTTGTTCCAGACAACCACCCTCATAGTGAGTGTTTTCTTAGGTTCAGACAGAATTTCTTGTGTTTTCATTTGTGCCTGTTGCCTCTTGTCCTGTCACTGGGTAGAGCCTGGCTCCATCTTCTTTACACTCTCCCTGCAGGTGTTCATAAACCCCACTGAGCCTTCTTCTCTCCAGGGTGAGCAGCCCCTTCTCTCTCAGCCTTTTTGTGCCCTGCCTCCAACAGCAGGGGGGTGCCCAGGAAGCAGTACCGGCAGTGAGTGGGGGGCTGAGCAGCCAGCAAGGGCCCATCAGAAGCCTGTTCCACTCTGTCCCATCCCCATTTCTGCCAGTCAGTGATTCACCCTCCGCCTGCCTTGCCTGTGCAACAGAGCCTCTTCCCCCTCCCCAGCCTGAATGGCCCCTGGCCTTTGGTGGGCAAAGGGAAAGCCTGCAGCCGCCTCCTGTGCTGTGCTGGGTGCTCAGAGGTGCTAATCCCCTGTTTATGACCTCACACTCTGTTTCCATGGGGATGTCAGAGCGGTTTATGAACCTCGCATTAGCAAGCCATGGGGTTACCAGAGGCCATGGGGCTGTTGCTGGGAGAGCTTAGGCTGCAGGGCTGGGGGCGGCTGGAGACTCCTGCATTTCAGGTCTGGCTCTGCAGTGGAGATTTGAGGCAAGCTTTTGGAAATGTCCCTTGGATACTGGCAGGCTGCACACTGGGTATCAGTCACGATCAAATTAGAGGACTCTGCATTTGATGCGGCCCTGTAGCCATCAGATACTTCAACTCTTAAAACTTCTTCTTTCCCGAGTCTTACAAGTCTTTGGAATTCTTTTAGTAGCTGTGTCTATCTAGCAGCTGTGGGGTGGAGCACATTACCTAGTTCGCATTCACATGGCAACCCTGCATAGCAGGTCGAGACAGGAAATGGTAAATCCTGTATCTTGCTGGAATCACACCAGGACTCCAGATCTTATGCCCTGACTTCTTATTGGTCCATAGACTTTTAGTGAGAACAAAGAATGGGTACTTCTGGATACATTCTACATGCAATTAGGTGTGCTACACCTCTAAAATTAAGAGATTTAAATTGGAGATTAGTATCCAAGCCCTCCCGATTGCATTGCTAGTCCCTCCCTACACCACCCTTGTTTTTCTTCTGCCAGCAAGAAAACATAGCAAACAGGGTGGAAGCAGAGTTTAGAGAAAGAGAGCAGAGCTGTTGCTGAGGAGATGGAACAGCATTGAAATAGGCAGGCTTTGGAGTCTGGGTGGAGACAAAAGAAGAGAATTGGGAAACTGGATTGAAAGTTTTGGTGGTGGGGCTGGAACTAAACAAATAATCCTCAAAGCTAGGAGAGAGTGTGGTGGGTCTACTCTGAGTGTGGTGTTGAAATATGCTCTTCTGCACCCCATCCTCTCCAAAATAACTCTCACCAGCCACACTTCAGGAGCAGACTGAAGTGCCCGTGTTGTAAATGCTGGAGTTATTGAATTGCCACCAGCTGCTTGGGGGACCTTTAATCTGGTCTCAGAAGGAATCGGGGATCCTGGTGCAGCAGCTTGGCCATTGCTGTGCACTGATGCTTGCAAAGGTGAAAGAGGCATCACTTGCTTGGCTCTGCAGCAGTCTGGTCCTTCTTGGTCAAAAGAAAGTAGTCATGCAGAAACAAGCTAGCAAACAGAGATGGAAACTAACTTGTGTCAGGGCTGCAAACTGAGGTGGATAGTTCTCGCAGGTGGGCTAGTAGCATCCAGTATACTGAGAACTTAGTCCATTCCCAGTCATGTGTCCTCTGTTCTTGCTGTCTCTCCCCCTAGCTCATCTGCACTTACCCTCTTGCCATCAGGACCTTGCACTGCACATGAAAGAAAGCTTTGCATACAGAAGACAGTTCCTGCTATACTGTACTAAAATAGGAGGGTGCAAGGTGAAAAAAATAAGAGCACTGTAGAGGTCTATAGTCTGTCTCAAGACTGTGCTGTGACAGTAAGCTTTGCCCTGCTGAAGGACAGCATTTCTTATCTGTACTTCTGTGTGCTCATCCCTCTGCCCTGAAATTCGTCTCTTGATCATCCTGTAAGTGATCTGTTGTCTAACTCTTCACTCTGAATTAAGAAATCTTTCACTTTTTTAAAGGAGGGACTCCTGAGAAGCCACTGTCTACTCCAGATGTTACCCTACATACTTCTATGAGAATTCCTTCCATCTAGGGACAGAAAATCTTACACTGAGCTGAAGAATGCTTTGCTGATGGTAGAGCTCTTGACATAGAGTACACTATTAGCTGCTAGAGAGACAGGACCAGATGAAAGCCTAAGATAACCTTAGGGACTGATTCCACTCACACCACCTGAGATTGAAAGAGATTCATTGTGGGGAGTGTAACTTGAAGTGGGATTCAGAACCCAGCACCTCTACCATAATACAGACCTGAGCATTCACTTACTGCATGTAGACCATGGATGTTCTGTAGACTCAGAGCAGAAACCCCTGCCTGGCTGAAGTCTGGCCTGTTACTTTATTTGGATCAGCAATCTCTTTAATTTCTCTCCAGTCTTGCAAAGTTCTGGTTGATGCTCCCTTTGGCCAGGCTTCTTCCAAGGTTGTATCAGTATTTTTGAGAGCAGCTTCATCTGCTGCCGAAAGAGGGACAAACCAGCCTGAGGAAAAACTGCTTTGTCTCTGTTCTTTACCCTGAGAGAATGTACAGGCCAGCTGCTTAGGAGGAGCTCTGTGGCTCCTGGACAAAGGTGCTAACAAAGTACATAAAGAAGGGCTGAGAAGCTGTATTAATGTATACTTTTGAGAGCACCAGAAAAGCTGCTCCTCAGCTTTTCCTTGGCTGCACTTGTGGCATTCTTGGCCAGAATGTTTGTCTCATGTCACATATTCACCCTGTTTAGAATGAGCCTGCTTCAAATACGAAGTGTCTGGCAGGCACTGGCTATCACCTAGCTGAGATTAAAATGCAATGTGCCACCGTATGGAACTATCAGCAAACTGTCTTGTTCTAACAAAGGTCAGGGGTGCTGCCCTGCCATTGATCTAGTGATGTGAAGTGTGGATTTATCACCTAGAACCCCTCTGCCTGCTCTGCCGCTCCAGAACATGCTCTTCTGGTGCTTACTCAATCATGTTTTCCAAAAAGCAGAATCCCTGCTCTGTTTCCTGAAGTGTTTTTATTGTGTCTCCATCGTTTGGACTTTGGACATTCCCTTCTACATGCCCCAGATTACTCTGCAGAGAGGTGAAAATTTCCCTGCTTTGCACTGGGTCATTTGGCAGCTGGCCTCTCCCTACCCACCCCATTTCCTGATCCTGTTTCTACTACTGGAATGCAAGAGGAATAGCAGAATGCTTTGGGAAGTAGTGGCCTGCAGATCCCACCTTGTTCTTGGTCATCTAACTGTCTAGCACATTATGGGATCACCCATCTAGGATGTAATGTAACAGTGGAGGAGACTGGAACTTCAGAAGAAGGTATAATATGAAAGTGAAATGCCAGTTTGAGCCAAGCTGTGTGGTCCTGGGGGTGGTAGGAGACATGTGAGACCATCTGTGGTCAGAATTCAACTGGGGAGTGCTCCACAGCACTCTCTTCTACCCCCCGCAGTTGGGACACTGTCCAGGTGAGACTTACCATGGTATTTTTCATTTCTTAGACTTTCTTGTTCTTTGCCTTTTTGCTTTCTCCTGATTTGTTTTTGACAGCAGTAGCTCGTGAATGTATCACTTAACTGCTTTACTAGCTGTGGGTGCTTTTGCAGAAATATGGCTGTTGGAGTACCCATATCATCCATAAGAGTCTTGAGTCTACCATCCTCTTCCTTTCTTCCATATCATTTGTATGCAGAACTTGGACATGGAGAACCAATGAAGTTTACCCTCACCAATGCAGAATTACTCCCTACAGTTCATTTTCTCAATTTTGGCCCAGTCTGGGGCTTTCACTGTTTCCAAGGGATGATTCCACAAGCAAATTTATCTTGCAGCCAAGGATTGTTCCCTCATCCTCAGCCTAAATTCGCCCTTTCATGACTCCCTGCTGTTATTTCTGCATCTATTTGTGCTCCAGCCTGGCATGTTCCAGTGGAGTACTGCAGAAACAAAATATTTTCGCTAGCCCATGAAGCTGAGGAAGTTCTCAGAGAATTCACCAGCACTGTGCAGAGTGACAGACTGTTCTCATATTCCAGAGTCATGGGTGTAAGGCCACCACACACCAGAATCATTTGGGAAATGGTCAAGCACATCTGCAGGTCAAACTTCTGTCCTTGTTTTCAGGATGGAAACCTGAATAGCTCAGCAGTTTTCTTTCCAGCATGGAAGTTGCCACATGGATAGTGTGGACTAACACTCTATCCAGAACAGTCACTGAGTTCAGGCCAGGATCTAGATTCTCTTTTAATGTGAATATAGCACTTATTTTCTTCTGGCAGGTCCAAAATATTGGTTAAAGCACAACACTGAAGTTGTTCCCTTTCCAAAAGAACTAAGGAATGTCACAGGTTCCCCGAGTCTGGGCTGTCAGCGAGAGGTACTGTAGATTATGGAGTATTTGATTTTGAGTGCTCAGCTGCCACTCCATTTTCAGCTTCCTACTGGAAGGACAGAACTTGGCATAAATAATATCCAAGTCAATCCCACCTCCATCACCTGAACTGAAGAATTTGCTATGTGTTAGGAAAGAGGCAGGTTCCATATGAGATCCTCATGAATTTCAAAGTTCTCAGGCTCTGTGGGCACCTCTCATCCCTGGGAGCAGAATCTGGTTTCACTGCTATCAGCATTTCACTCCAGCAGCATGTGGTTTCTCTCATCTGCATGGAAACTGTGCTATGTGTAGCATGTGAATTCAAAAGCAAAGAGCCAGAGCGGCTGCAGGTGAGCAAAGCCAAGAGGTGTCATGGGAAGGGATGTGGCAGGGAGGAGGCAGTCTTGCCAGCACTTTGATCGAGTGCTTCCTGCAGCCTGTAGCTCTCTGCCTTCTGCTCTTAATCCAAACAAAAGCCAGATTGAAAAAGTTCAGTGAGGGTTCAGAAGTTCAGCCTTGAACTGCACCAACATGGCCTTTGCTTGGGCTGTGTGCAGGACTGCAGTTGCCCCATGGGTAGGTCATTTCCCTTACCCAGCACGTGGAAGCCCTGTGCTGCTCCTAGGTGTTAAGCAGTAGCCACTGAGTGGGAAGGCTTTGGGGCCTTCCTGCTCACTAAATAAAATTCATGGAAACAGACTTCCACATGCCACAGAGATTTTAGGCAATTGCAATGACTGCAGGTGACTAACCACACTTGTTTCCATCCTGTTTATATCTTGCCTTTTCCCATCAGGGAAATCCCACCAGGATTCCCATCACACTTTACCCAAACTACTCATTTATGCAGCTGGAGTCTAGGGATTCTGGTTGTTGCCCAGGATCCTACTGTACTCAGGGGGGCAAGTGGAACCCCAAGGTAAGTTGCTGGTCTCTCAGAGCGGCAGTTCTGTCCCCCTTTGTCCAGAGTGAGAGCTCTGCACTTTAAGATAACAGGTTAGGAAACTGCAGACCAGCTGTATTTAGCATGCACATGGAGGCTCTGTCCTGACAACCCTCAGCTGGTTGAGAAAATTAAGACCATCTGCCAGTGTGTGTTTGTAGGTTATTGTAAAAATTCCCCAAGACAAACCGTGTGGTTGGATACAATGGAAGGTTGGGTGACTTGGTTAGAAAAGGTGGTATGCTACTTTACATGGACAGCAGAGTTCACAGAAAAGTCCTGTGTGCTGAGCTTTGAAGCTCTCGTATGTGAGTTTTGTGGATTGTTTTTACTCTCAGGGGAAAAAAAAAATCTGTCTATCACACAGTAGGAACTGGGGTTAGTCAAAAAGGAAAAGGAACTTTGTAGACTGACTGGTCCCGGACATCAGGCTTTTGCCACTGCTGAATCAAGGTAAAAAAAAAAATAATAAAAAAAAAAAAGCAGCAAACAAAATAGGACAAGTTTGAGTTTGGGACAAAGCAAGTATTAAAAGAGCTAAAAGCAAATGTGCTCCAGGAAGGGAAAGCGTCCAAATGTCTGTTTCAGCTAACAATGAAAAGCCCCAGCCTGCAGTCCCCAAAGGAAGCCAAAAGCCTGGACCAGAGGGCTGGATTAGACCTGCTCAAAAGAGAAATAACAAAAGCTTTAAAATCAGGCCATTACTAAATCCTCCTTCCTATGCAGAATTGGGGTGTGCACTTCCAGCCCCCACACAGAAACAGAGGGATTTCTTAAAAAGCCACTGTCTGTCTAACCCCGCACACAGCATTGATGTGTATCTCGCATTCACACGTTCACTTCTCTCCCAGTGAGATCATTTATTATCACGGGAGCACTTTCCCGTAAGCATGTGGACACGTGACCAGAACTGCATTTGGCAAACTGATGCATTAAAACAATTTGGGATTTTTTTCATCCTTCGCTGTAAGTGCAGTCTTGTGATATCAACACTTGTGCTACAGACCTCCCCCTGCAGCCAGAGGAATGCGAGAAGGAGGACTTCACCCCACGTGCCCATCAAATACCCCTACAGCTTCTCTCAAAGGAGCTGCATTGCCATGGTTCTTTGTCAGATTCCAAACTGGGGATCTGCGTTTGGACTCTCTGAACTCCCCCTGCATGTGAAATTAGAGATGGGAGAGTCTCTCCTACTTCCTGTCCTGATGTTATGTAAGGGATTCCACTAATGCACTAGCATAACATTAAAGGTCAAATGGGACTAATTTAGTGCACGCATAGGAGAACAAGATCTTGCTCTGTGCTGCCTCACAAATCCCTCCTGCTGTTGCTTCTAGGTGTTTTAACTATCATAAACTCCTCAAGGTGAAAGCAAAGCATTTTGGAAGTGGCTTCATTTCAGTGGCAGGAACCTCCAAATGCAATTCATTTTTTCAATTTGTGCTGTTTGGGATTGCTAAGGAAGAAAAGCACTAGGAAAATGGGCTGCTGTTGCACAGTCTGTAGCTGCCTGGCATAGCAAGCTTTCTTTGTAGTTCTCAGGAATGTGCCAAATGCCTTCAAACAAATGCGTTACATGGTCTCTGTCCAAAGTTCTTAATATCTCAAATTTGCACGATGCAAATAAAAGGTAACGAAGCTGTTTGGGGAGAGGATGACTGATTGAGGTTACATTAAGACCATGGGATTACTCAACGGAGGCATGCAAACATTGCTGGACAAAGTTTATCAGTCTGTTCCAAATTCTAATTTGTTGGAGCATTGTTTGTGCAGATTATGCTAGGGTTTTACTTTGGATCTTTATTGTCTGAAAAGACTCCTCTTTTTCTAAGGACCTCTATTTCCCCTCTCTACTGGTAGCAAAAGATTTAAAGCCTAACAAAACTCCAGGCCACCCAGCCACAGGGTAAGATTTCCAGTAACTGATTCTGGATCTGAAATCCCCTGCCTGTTTGCAAAGCCAAGTCTAAAACTTCAAATGGTAAAAAGCAGAGGATATTTGCCAGGCATTGCTCTTCACAGAGATTTGCAGTTGTGATGATAATTCCATTCTAGTACCTCTTACATTGTAGGTTCTGACTTCCTGCACCAGCAAGCTGTAATAGTAACGTTCAGAGAATACTACAGCAAATTTGCACATAGGAAACTACAAGACTAGGCCTGAAATTGATCCCATACAGAAGAAATAACCTATTATCCTCTGAAAATAAATGAATCCCTTTTTAGAAACTATTTCTCACAGAGTTTAGCCTTTGTAATTAATTTACCTTATTGAGGCCAGCTGTTGAAATAACACCTCCCATAGAGGCTGGGATGCGTTCAGTCTTGGACTTAGTTGCAAGGAAGGGATTTGGCACTCCAGTTGAGCTACAGGTGGACAACTTGCCAGCAGCCTGGTGACTACACCTGATTTGTTTTGAGACTGGAAATCAAACAGGTGCCAATGGATTCAGTACAGAGGTGCAGCTTGGAAGCTGCAAAACAAACAAAAATTCCTTTCCAGCGGTCCCTTCTGAATTAAGGGAGCTCTGCTCACAGTTACTCCTTTTCTAAAGAGGCACGTGGGCAGGCAAAGACTACAGCGCCTGCTCCTGCTTCAGTCAGAATCTTTTCTCAGTGATCAGTCTCAAACTGAAATGCATTTGTGTTGTTTGACAGGTACCTGACTCGCTGGTCCGTCAAATCTGCAAAGCCCATCTGGAGGAGAGGCCCTAAGTGGTGCAAAAAACCCATGCCAGTTGGACACCCTTTGCTGAAGGATAATGTCAAATATACAAACAGTCTTCTCTGTTTTAACCACTAGCGGCCAGAACTGGCATAGTCAGTCAGCACAGCTGTTTTCCATTGTTCTGCTTTTTTTGCAAGTTTGCCAGTATCTCAAATTTTCTTATTCCAAAATTGTCATTAGTACTCTATATTGTCTCCAGTGAATGAGCTGCAATCTGCTGTAGGAGAAGATTCAGCAAAGCAAAGTTCAATGTGCAGGATGATTTGGAGAAAGCAGAGGGCAAAGACTTTTACCTCACAGCCAGAAAGGACCTGAAGGTTTTTGTTTCATTAAGGTCCACGACTGGGTTTTGAAAAAGTTGTTCCTTCTTTTTGCAGCAATGAATGGTGACTCCCCATTAACATGTATTACAACTCAGATTTGCCTCATTTGGGCTTTTGTACGTCACACTGATGGAAGAAAGTTTCCTGCAGTACTATGTTTCCTTGGCAGCAACAGAAGTTGTTCATGACTACCAAAATTATTTTTTTTTATAATCTGTACTATCCATAATTTGCAGCAGAACACCTGTGGCAGTGGCAGACTGGCATGTATGTGTCTGGCAGATCCCCTTAAGGATTCCTGGCTTGTGCTTCACTCCTGGATCCAGCAAATACAGAATGTTGACATCCTTGATGACTTGGCCTTTTTTTTCCCTTTGCAAATATGGCTGCTTCCTGGGATAGTTTGGGGCTGATAGACGTGCATAATTTTCTATCATGTTAACTAAAAGGTGGCACCATTTCTCTCCCTGGACAGTACCTGTATGCACCTTCCACCTGCTGACCACTGCTACTTGAGAAGTACTACTTATGGGCCTGGTATGGCAGGCTCGTTAAATTTACCAGGGTCACTATTGCTTTGGCTCCATTTCTTTTATATTTATCTGGAGGCTACAAATCAACACAGCTTTTTATGTACTAGTATGTCACTTAACCTGGTACTGCTTCCATCAGAATCATCTACTAATACCTATCAGCATGGCCAGGAACAAAGGGAAGGACAAACCTGTATTACCCAGAAAATCAAATTATAATGGTTCTTTTTAGCCTTACTTTGTAAAATGGAAGCCCTATGTTCAGCCTCTGGAGCTGGCAAGATCTTTTTGCTTTCGAAGACAGAGCCAAGACTTCATTAACTAAACTGAGATAAAATCTCTGGCTGACCGTCTCTATTTCATGAAGCTCCACAGCTCTTCAGAAAGGAAAAGATTTTTCTTTCTTCTCCTACATACAGAAGTTACCGTGTCTTCTAGCCCAGGTAGCTCTCTTGGTGAGCTTTACTAATGGAAAGCTCAGAGCACTGGATTAAACCATTGCCTTGAGATGAACCTTAATGAGCATATTTTGCAAAAGACCAGATAATGCCCACAGTTAGTTTTTTTTCTATGGTTTAGCACCATGAGCTGGAGAGACCCCTCTAATTTTGGTGAAACCTAACATCTGAAAAACAAAATATTCTCCTCTCTTCAATGCATCTTTCTGGAGTTCAGGGTTTAGTAGAGATCCCTTACAGTATGTGTCAGCTTTCTACTCTGACTCCAAGGCAGAAACTGTTTTTGTTTGTCATTCATGGGTGACAGCAGGCATTCATTCGTGTTGTGTCCTAATGAGTTTTTGTGTAAGCATGGTGCCTCTGTAATCAGACAGATGGCCTAGGTTTTATTTCTGACCCAGGGCTTCTCCCATCATGGAAGAAAATGCCATTTGTTACTATCTGTCTAAAGGATCTGCAGTGACACATTACAGGGAATTCAGTCTGGAGCTGAGGGAGGATTGCACACAAGTCCTAGGAAGAGAATCAAGGCCAGAGTCCAGGCACAAAAGAATCCTGCTCAAAGTGCAGAGGTTTCACACATTTATTAGAACAAGCAGTAAACAAAAATCTCCTAAGTAAAAAATCTAAACGTTCTCAAGTCTTTGTCCCAGACAGGAGAGTCACAGCATGAAGGGCAGATCCAAGTTCTTCTCGCCAGTGCCAAAGTAGATGTAGCCGTACTGCTTGGTCATTGGAACATGGTAGAACGTCAGGCCCAGCCACAGCAGGCTCCGCAGCACCACCACAGTACCTCCCTTCTCTAGGTGGACAGTCCAGGAGCCTGTGCAAGAACATGTGCTAATGAGTCACTGCAAAGGAGAAAGAAGCAGTGTTCCTGGAGCAAGCTGTCCCTAAGCTGGGAGGATTGTGGTGGGTTCTGCCTGACCAGTTAACAGTGCACAAGGCTCTGGGCCTCAAAGGGAAGTCAGGGAGACCAGAAACCTTGATGCCCTTTCCTCTTTTGTCAGCTCAGCATTACAGGCTGCCCTCATGATGTCTGCATCTAGTTTCACACAGCAACATAGTCCCACAGCTATGAAGATAATGTCATATGCGTCACAGGAAGGGACCCCTGGAGCTCCAGACTTGTATACGTGGTCCCTAGGAGAGGCTACAGCTATTCTTGGCTGCTTCTGAGTGGGCAGCAGTTACTCTAACAAGCTCTGCCACCTACTTGGTCTAGCTAATAGCTATAGAGAGAGAGCCAAGACTAGTTATAGCAATCCTGCACAGGTATGAAAGTTCTGCTTAAAATAAACTCATAGCATTAGTAGTGGGGAGAAGAAGGCAACACTTTCCTGCTCCAGGGAAGACTAGTTTCCCTGATGCAATGACTGGGAAAGAAGAAGAAGAAAAAGTGAAAAGCAAGGTATCTCCTATCTCAGAGAAATTTACAGAAAAGGCTAACTCTCTTCAGTCTTTCTTGGCTCCGCCATTGAAGAGGATGTGCATGGTAGGGGCAAAGGGATTAGTTTCCGCATTAATGTTGCTTTGGCTCTGCAGAGGAGGTTCAGAGCCAGTGTGAAAATGCAATTTCTCCTGGATGCAAGGAGCTCTGAGCCACTGAGTATTTGTTTTGCCTCTGACACGACAGCCTGGGAACAATGCCAGAGGGGAGGGGGCTGGAGCATCAGCTTGGATTCAATGCCAGAGGGCAAGGAGCTGCCAGGAGAAGAAAATACCAGCTTAAGCACCAAATCAGTAATGCCTAGAGGCTACAATGTAGGGAAGAGGGTTCCTGCT